GGTACGCTTATGTATATAAAATTGTGTGAGGTAAAAGGAAATATGCAATACAAAGCAGGCAGCTGCATGAGAAATTGTTTGCAGACAAGAGAGTTTTCCGACTGAAATACCAAAAGAAACGAAACCAAAAAGTCAGCTATGGTGCGCTTGAAACATTTAAACACGTTCGTAAATTTGTTTATAACAGTTGGTGGAACGTAGACAGAGTAGCAAAATTAATTTTACACCGCAGAGGCAAAATGCAAAATGCAGTGATATTGTTTGCCTACCTGAGCTGATGAGAGGCGAGTGCAAAAGAAAATAAATTCCCATTGCCAGCTATGCTATGTACTTACTTACATATGTATCTTTTATCACACCACCCACCTACTTCAACTCCATACCAAAAATATCTACTTAAACAACGGTTATATAGCTGACGCGTCACACCTCAGCATACATTGATATATATGTATATGCCTATTTTTCACAGAGTATTCTTGCACAGTATGAGGAGGATGTGAGGCAGGCCCAATGAACACTAAGACACACCCACAATATTTCTGACAAAATTCCAAAATACTTTTCGAACGTTGCTTTTGTGTTTTATTTTCGTTATGTTTATTTTTTGAAGAGTTGCTTTCTTTCGTTTATACTTTGCAATTGTTTTCTTGTTAATTTTCGGCTCGCTTAAGGGTCATTTCAACAGTTTACTTTTTACGACAAGTAATTTTTAGCAAAAAAAAACCGACTTCAACTCTCATATAAAAAAAAAAAAAATAGTACCAGGTTGACCGAGCTTTGCACTCCGGTGCATATACTTTTTAAAGTTTTCAAGATTTGGATAGCTTTAAAAAAATATTTTGGAATAAAAAAAATAGGATTTCCATATCTATTAAGTAAATTCCTTACTCTAAAATTTAGGTGCCAACCCTATTCCGAAATACGTTGGAATGAATGGTACATATCTTGAGCGTATGCGTACTATGTATATATAAAAAATGATGATTGAGATTAACAAAATAAATATTTTTATTACAAGGAAGCGTGGCAACCCTGAAAATATTTTCTGACCAAAGTTCTCAACAATACCTTTCATTTGATATCCATATTGCGATGTTTTAGATAAATTGTGTAGAATCTAAAATAAGTGGCAACCTTATACTACTATCCTAAGACATAACATTTTGTGTACAGGGTAAGCATTGTCTAAGAACCTTCTCTTGGTACCCATGAATAGTGATNAGCATTGTCTAAGAACCTTCTCTTGGTACTCATGAATAGTGATTTTACCTTTTTTTTTTCTAAAAAAAAAAATTAAATAAATATTCGATTCAAAATAGGTGGCAACCTTATTAAAAATATATTTGAATTAGGGATCTTTAAAATACCTTCCATTTGATACCCATATTATNGGCAACCTTATACTACTATCCTAAGACATAACATTTTGTGTACAGGGTAAGCATTGTCTAAGAACCTTCTCTTGGTACTCATGAATAGTGATTTTACCTTTTTTTTTTCTAAAAAAAAAAATTAAATAAATATTCGATTCAAAATAGGTGGCAACCTTATTAAAAATATATTTGAATTAGGGATCTTTAAAATACCTTCCATTTGATACCCATATTATGATGTTTTAATTAATTTGTAACTAATTTCGCATAGGTGGCAACCTTATACGAGTCTTCTCGGAGATATTGCCTATTCAGATAACTTTAAAATCCAAAACATTATCTGTGTACAAAATTTCATCAAAATCGTTAGAGCCGTTTACGAGAACCCTATGGATATATATATATACAAGAATTGCTCGTTTAATGTAATAAGATATATCAATACATATATCTCATGATGACTGATCGGATCTTAACCAGATTAGTATGGGACCACCTCTAGTATGATACCACCTTTCCGATGCAAAAAGAATTATCGAAATCGGTTGACGGGGTCCAAAGTTATGCGGTAACATACCTAAAAAAAATATTCCGACGAACCGATGACCTCCTCCTTTTTTGGAAGTCGGTTAAAAATTGAGTTTAAACTAATCGCCAGTTTTCCAGTTTATGGCCGCTGTACAGTTTAGTGGTTTTATAGGACAGGACATTTTTTCTTTACATAGATATGTATGTAAAGCAACTGCTAATATATTTATACTTTTGCTATTTTTTTTATTGTGGACAGAAATTTAAAGAATTTGTTAGTTGCTCCATGTGTTGTCCGCTGTGCGCTGACAAAATACCTCAACCATTTGGGTTTGTTATTTGTCTTGCCATCCAAAAAACTGAAATGGTTTGGTCCATTTTCTTAGGTTGAATCCGATTGTGACTGTATTGCAAATAANTGACACAACATTTTTTCTTTACATAGATATGTATGTAAAGCAACTGCTAATATATTTACACTTTTGCTATTTTTTTTATTGTGGACAGAAATTTAAAGAATTTGTTAGTTGCTCCATGTGTTGTCCGCTGTGCGATGACAAAATACCTCAACCATTTGGGTTTGTTATTTGTCTTGCCATCCAAAAAACTGAAATGTTTTGGTCCATTTTCTTAGGTTGAATCCGATTGTGACTGTATTGCAAATAATTTTAATTTTTCCCCCTTCTCTTTCATCTAAGTTTTGGAAGCCGATGGCAAATTCATATTGTTGCTTATCACAAATATCTCGCTGTTAAGCCGCATACTGTTTAGATTATCACGTGAATATTCAGTTATTTTATGTAAATCATGGTTTTGTTAAGTCACTTGGTTGGTTGACAAAACGCATGTGGGAATTTTCCGCTCAACGGCAACGAAATTATTCTCTGAACACAGACTACTAAACTACAACACATACTATGTATTGGAAAAAATACAGAAGCGTCATACTATTAAGTGGGCTCTACAGGGCAAACAAATCGTGTGATAATATTAAACTAATTATGAAATATATATATGTATGTACATACACTTCCACCCATCAGAATAGGTTCAACATGATTTTCAAGTTTTTCTGTTTGGTGCATCTACTAGATTATCTGTAAGTTTTTTTTTTGTAAATTCAGTGTTACAACCAGTTAAATTCACAAACAATAACACTAAGGCCAACCACATTGACACTACCATTGTTTACTTTTTGAGGTTTTTTTGAACATTGATAATGATTTAATTGTTCACCAGGATAGGTTCAGTCCAAATGTCTTGATATTAGGATTTGGTATTTGGCAATTTTAAGAAATTTACTTAAGTAATTATTTTAATCTAGAGATCAGAAACAAAAATTGCATATTTAAAAAAAGAAAGGCTAAACTGTCAAAAATCATTGTAAGTAGAAGTGACAAAATCAAGATTTTATAAGCAATTAAAAACGAGAAGAAAAACAAAGTGAAGAAATTCCGATAGTGTATCCGTACTGGTGTTAAAATGGCAATCTTGAATTCGGTCACATTTTGCATGTACTAGTGCATAAAATAAGACTATAATCCCGCTTAAGTTTTTGAGAACACTTGGAAAAGCAAGAGCTTCAAAAACGAACCCACGGGACGATGCACCTTGGGCTTAGTGATTGCAGTACTGTGAAAAAATAAACAATCAAAAAACACATTTGAGAACAAAATAATCGGAGTGTAACTTAATAATGAGCACTACTTTGAAGCACAAGGAATATTTGGCTGTACATTTTCGAGATTTCTAAAGCTGCTTGGACTGCTAGAAGCAGTAAATAGTTCTAATAGTATCAAGAAATCATTTGAGTGCTGCATTCACGGCGAAATGATGGCCAATAGGACTAAATACCATGCACTTAACGCAGTAAGCAATTTTCAGAATGCTATCCTTTTGGAATAGATAATACGAAGGTGGAAGATAAAAATACAAAGAAAAAATAGTTAAATTTTTGATTTTTTTTATTATATTATTAATTTTAATTTATTATTAATTATACTGAACCCGTTTTGGTAAACTATGTATTAAATTTTTATTTGGTAATGTGGCTTTTTATTTTTTGTTTGTGATTTGAACTGACTGTGATACTGCATATACAAAAATAACCTGGGGATAATTCAGAAGGCGCACCAAACAGTTAAAGCTAAAAAAACAAAACATGCTAAACCTATTCTGCTGACGTTCAGTGTCTATAGAAACAAAACCTTTAGTATGAATTTGTTATTTTAACATGCCAGCTGATAACTAAACGCGCAATCAAACCTCGCCATTGCGAAGAGTATCTACAAAATTGCCAGGGATTGATGATTAGACACCAACGGCGGTTGCTTAAGTGTATTGTCTTTATAATTATGTGGACACCTACTTTCCACAAGAATTTGCCAACTAATACATATACTTCTTTTCACACAGACAACTGATTCCAAATAATGATATCCTGCACTGCTAACCACTACACCACAGCGGCCTAGATAAAAAACTTGGGGAGCATTTTCTACGAATTCGTTTGCTAATTCAGAAAATAAATTTTGAAAAAGCAAAAGCTTTTACTTTACAAGTGAAAAAGTGTTTCTGGACCTCGATTGAGTCCCCTCGATCATTTGTGGCGGGAAACGAAACGGGAACTATGTACCTCAATATACATATGTACATACATATATACAAGGCAAAGAGTAGAAAGCTGAGCGTAGAAGGGACTGTAAAATTGTAGAAATATGCAAAATCTTAAGTGGTAAGATGTGCGTGGAGGCATGTGTATTTTTGTTCTAGTTAGCTTGAAAAAAAAACAACACACTTTTTGTTTTGTTAGTTAATTTTACCCCGTTATTTAATACGTCACCTATCAGGAATGAATGAGTTTATCTCGAATTAAAGCAAACAACATTAAAAACATCAAGTGGAAAAAGAGGAAAAGGCAACTAAAAATAAAAATATTGGCAAGCTACGACGCTCTTCGAATTTTTGCCCGCCCGCAAGGGAAATTCCAATCAGCTCATTCCGCAGCGTGTTTTGAACGACTTTTTCATGCACTTGCATTGCGAAGGCGAAACAAGTCGTCCACGAAATATAAAAATAAAAAATAAACTACGCAGAGACAAATGATGAATTCATAGAACGAATGTATAGTAACTAAAGCTAAGATGTTCGTGTGGCATTATCAAAGAAGTTAAAAAAAAAAAACACNAGTTAATATCACTATTTAACTAAAACAAACTATGATGAAAGAAACAATCTCAAAAATTTTAACTAAAATCGTCTAGTTAGTTCGATAAAATGATTTAATCGGGAATCACAATTTTTTCTTAACGTATATACATATACATACTTACAAAAATACAAATTTGGTAGAAAGACATAAGTATGTATGTACAACAACACAAATATAAATTGGGTCGCGACATTTTATCAAGTTTTGCAAATTTTTCTTTTGTATTTTGGTGTTTTTTTCAGAATTTTTAT